ATTTATCGTAGTTAGTAATAAAATGTAATTAAACAAATACTACAAAGGATACGATAAAATTTTAAATTTTAGTGATAGAAAAATATCAAAAAAAATTTCCTTGACAGACACATTTCAGACATTTTAGAAATCAAAATTCATCGAAAAAAAAGCAATAATAATAGTAGATTAAAAATGGAAACAATATTGAGTGTACTCTATGAAAAGAATGTTTGCGTAAAAATAATTTGACATCAGTAGATTTTCTTTTTTTTTAGAATAAAAAAGGAATTTCATAAATAATTTTGTCATTTAATTGTCATTTTACAGTTTCTTTCAAAATATTTTGTGATTATTTTTTAAATTCCTTGAAATGAAAATTTTAAGTTTTGAATTTTAGTTTAACCATTGATTTACTTTAGTTTTTTGAAAGAATTTTTGTTAAAAAAAGAAAAAGGATCAAAAATCAACATATAATTTGTGGAAAAAAATGCATATAAAAACGATTAAAAGTTCATCATAATACAACAATTAATAGAGCTAATATTGAAAACAGATAGTCGACGGATAATTTAGTAATTATATAAACCAATCAATGAATTAATGCTTTCAAATACGACCTCTTTTAAATAGCCCTATCAATTAATTCTGAATTTGAATTTTCACGTAAACTCAAATTATTATTTGTTTTTTTTTTTGTTTGAAAATTTCCTTTTGTTTGATTCACTTTTTTCCTCGATTCCATTTCAAATTTAATTTCATTGATTAATACGACTGCTTATTTTTATCATGATAAAGATAAAAATAAGTAGAGGAAAAAAAAGCCGAAATCATGATGAATTCTTAAAATTGATTGATTTTTTCTGATAATTGAATACTCAATAATTTCAATTTTAATATCAAGACCAAGGAAAAACGAAATGAAATCTGAGAAAGTTACAGCAAATGAAAGTTAGATTGAATAAAAAAGTAAATAAGGAAGGAAGTAAGCAAAGTTTGAACGAAAGGGAAAACTGGATAGATAGCCATGATGGAATTGATAAAGAAAGGTTTGACAAATGATGGGACAGATCGATCATGAGGCTAATAGGTTTGTAATTTGAAAAACTTAAATTCAAAATATGAGTAACACGTACACGTGAAAAAAATTGTTTTTCATATATGTTGAAATAAATATGAAAAAAGAAATTGAAAATAAAAGCAGCAAACTGTTCTGATTGTTCGCATTTGAAACGGTCGAACGGTCAAATATTGCGGTATATCTTCCAGATGTCGCCAGTTTTTCATCATAAGCAATTGTTATCATTAAAAGATTTCCCAAAAGAAGGTTCTAGTTTTGAAGGAAAGAATACTAGCTATCAGGTCATTTACCATATCATTAATTTTATTAGGACTTATTGAAATTAGAAATAATATAACTATTAGCAATTAGAGCATGGACAAATGATTAACAAGACAAATCATTGGTCATTATTGGTAGACATCAATCACAGAAAATGAATTACTTTATACTGCATTAAGTAAGAATATAAATTTCAGAAAATTCTCGTACAATTCATAATCTTAATTTACTTGAGAAATAATTTTAAGACAAATTCTGTTGATTGGAATAAATATTACTTCTTAAACAGGTGATAAAACTTCTTGGTAAAGGTGGTTTTGGTGTTGTCTTTCAAGTGCAATCATCAACTGATAACAAAATGTATGCAGCCAAATTAGAAGCTTATGAAAATTCACATAAGGTGAAATTTGTTTCCTTTTCTTTTTGATAGAAATCTTCTAGCAAAATCATGAAATGAATGTTGGAATGTTTGAATTTAATTTTCAGGTTCTTTTGATGGACTGTCTTGTCCTACGCGGAGCTGAAGTATTGAAGAGTTCACATTTTTGCAAAATTTTTGAACTTGGCAAAGTTGAGAGAAAATTTCGCTTTATTATTATTACAATGGTAAAATATTTATTTCATTATAATTAATGATTCTTTAAAAAGAAGAAATCAATAATGCCATCTTTCAAAACTGTAATGTTATCACCAAGCATTCATTATTTAATTACACACTTTTATACTGACATCTTGCTATTATTTCATTTAAAAAATCATATTTTTCTTCAAAAAAAAATCATATAATGCACATAGTTTCAGTTGGGTCCAAGTTTACATTTATTACGAACATCACAAGTAAGGAATCATTTTTCACTTGGAACAGCATTACGATTCGCTCAACAATCATTGGAAGCTTTACAGGTAAGAAGTATTTACTAATCTTGGCTTGGCTTAGTTTAACTTTATAGGTAAGAAGTATTTACTAATCTTGGCTTGGCTTAGTTTAACTTTACAGGTAAGCAGTATTTACTAATCTTGTCTTGGCTTAGTTTAACTTATCAGTTACTATAACAATTTATTGCATTTAGTTAGTATTATACGAAATGTCTTTATAAGATAAACATCAATTGAAGGCATTTATTAATTGAAACTTTTGAGTACTAAAATTAAACTACTTATATTAATTGATTGATTTATTATTCTCAAGTTTATTTATTCCGATAACTTCAAAGGTAATTAATCCAAATCAATTTTGAAATTTAGGATATGCATTCGATCGGATTTTTGCACCGCGACGTTAAACCATCAAATTTTGGAGTGGGTCGTCCAGAAACAAATGATTTTCATATTGTTTATATTTTCGATTTTGGTCTTGCTCGACAGTTTGCGTTTGTTTTTTAAATTCTGTCGAAGCTGTAAACAAAGTGATTCTAGTAAAAGTCAATAATAAGAATACGAATGAGATATCTTTGATCAAAGCCATACTTCTTTAAAACTATTTATTCCAGTACACGTGATAAAGACTGCCGTATTCCACGTAAATCTGCTCCATTTCGTGGTACACCACGATATGCCTCATTAAACAGTCACAGAAAACAGGAACAATCACCAAAAGATGATATTGAATCATGGTTCTATATGATCATCGAATGGACAGTAGGTGCTCTACCTTGGAAAAATTTTAAAGTAATTTAATAAGCTTGAACCTCGTAAAGAACATGAATCACAACTTGCATAGCACAGACTCTGCTCTTCTGCAATCTTAAGAGGTCAAATCTTGAGTAGGCAAAGGTCGAAATCGACTTAAACATGATTCTTAGACAAATCCTACTAATTTTGCATAACTTAATCCAAACTTTATATCTCATCGATACGATAGTTTTTCTAATTGCCATCAATATCTAGTTATGTAGGTTAGTTTGAATTGCAATAGATTTTCCAACGGTACCAATGAATATTTATTTAATATATTCAACAGTTGTTTCTAATCATTCCAGAATCAAGATCGTGATAAGATTATGTTGATGAAAGAACAAAGTCGTGAATCAGCTGGTATGAAATTACTTTTGGAAGGTTGTCCACGACCGCATTATCGGATGATCATGCAATATATCGATAATTTAGAATATACTAGTATTCCAGATTATGGATATATTTATTTCTTGCTCAAACATGTCGCTAAGGTATAAAATAAAATGCCCAAATGACTGCTATTCGGATCAAACAATATTAAAATGAACTTCACTTACTGACTTTCACTAAATTATATTATAGAAAAATCGAATACCACCTGATGAACCACTGGATCATGATCCGGAACATCCATATGCCGGTACTGAAACACCACCATCATGTTTACCTTATGGTGTACTCATATCAACCATTCAAACAAAAAACACCACAGAAGATATCAACAAAAAATAATCACAGATTTTTATAATATGATTTTCATTTCCATTTTCAATTATCATTTCTCCGAATTATTCACTTTGCATCTCCAACGTTCTCTTAATCTCGAATATTCTATTGTTTCTATTCTGCAAGTTATACAATAAATCCTGTCATCGTTTACGACATTCGGTCAGTCCAGAATAAACTTTGGTCAGTTATATTCGATGACATCAATGGTCATCAGTGTTGATCCGACAATACTAATAATTTTGATATTTCAAGCAATCAAAAATTCACTCTTCCATTATTCCATTCTGTTTACTTATGTTTATCCATTATTTCTTCATTAAAATACGCGTTCATTAGTTTGAGCGGGAAGGTCAAAGATCAGTTGAGGGAGAATGTTATTAATAAGCTAAAATAATTATTGCTCAATTCTTCATTCTAGAATATTCCCGGTGAATACAACTGCCCTGATATGATTTAATTTCAAATCAAGTGTCCATTTGTCCATTCGCTGAGTCTGTCTAAGTTCTATAGCGTAATTATCCCATGACCTTTAATAAATTTCTATCAATGGCGACTTTTGCTCTATCTTTTAACCTTATCGTACAAATACGCTAAGAAGGCACAGAGGCGAGGGGAGAATGGTGGTCAATTTTGAGAGCGCATCCCGAGACAACTTTAGTGACGTTTACCTGAAATTTTACCTGAAAATTAAACCAACTATACCTGAGTTTGAAGATTCGCTTTATCGGCATTTCAGACTAAAAGAAGGGGAAATGTCTGATCAGGTTTTTTTTTCCCTGATAAAACAGGATCCAGATGAAACTTTTGAATATAATCTGTTGAAAGCGTAATTATCGTAGTTATTAGTTATTGGAGAAAACTTACAACTTTCTTTTGCTTCTCACAGTTCACATTATCTTTTTACACTTCATCTAATAACCTGAAGAAAATGACATAAACTACAACAAATATTCAAAATTTACGACTTGTTATTCATGAACTATAATTAGATTTTTTTTTTTATTTCTTTTTTTGCAAGCAATCAATATAATACTCCACAATAGCTAACATTGTCCAGAGAAAAAAGAGGTTCAAAGGTCACTGCATTAAGAGCATGAAGATGATGCATTATTAGAAGCATGATATGGATCATTTCGATTATCACTTTCCATTGTTCTCATCCTTCAAACGGTTGTCTCTTATTGTTGGTGTCTAATAGAAGTTTTTCTTTAATTATTTTCTTATTCATTGCTTATTTTTCACAAAATTAATGAGATTTAATTTTGATATAAATGAAGAATGGGAGCTTTCTCCTCATAGCCACGTGATTCATTTGCATAATTCGAGCAAAAGCTATATTCAAATTTCGACAGTATTTAAATTTTTTTTTTTGTTTATAGCTATCGTTTATTAGCGCGACAAGCCATTAATTAGAAATGGAGAAACGAATGCAACAGCTTTCTTTGAACGATACATCTTCTGATAAAAATAAAACAAACCAAAAAGGATTCAATTCAAGGTCAAAATCCGGTAATAAATTTTGGGAAACCAGAGCACTAATCAATAAACGAATAAATGAGTTGGAGGCGGATTATGTTAGTTTTATTTGATATTTGCTTTGAAGTTTCATGTATTAAATAAACTCGATTTGTATTGTAATTATGGGCATTATTAAAAATAGCGCTCTTAGTCGTATTATCACATGGTCCATTGGCTTAGCTTCTTTCCCTTTTCCTTGTTTTGGTTCATTAAAGGCTAAAGTTCGAATAAAAAGGTGACGAAAAGTTGAAGCAATTTTTAGATCAAAGAATTGACATTGTTCAATCAGAATATGATATGATGAAAGATAATTCAACAAAGATTTGAGAAATTTGTATAATTTTTATTTAAAAAGTTTTTTTCTTTCAGATAGAATTAAGCAAGCAAAAAAGTAGTTTAGATTACGATGATGACAATCTAACTGATGATTATGTAAGTATTTCTAATATTAAATGTTTCTAATTATTAACTCAGTTTTTTCAAATGAATCTTAAAATTTATAGAATGGAAAGAGTGAAAAAATAATTGCAGGTAAAATTGAATATGAGAATAAACGATGTAAAGGATCAACTCATTATTATGGATGAATTAAACAAAGTTCATTTATCTGATGTGAAAAAAATTCAGCGAGCAATGAATAAGCAAAGAATGGTTTAGAAATTATCAATTTTAATTTCAAGAATAATAAATTTTCATGAATTTTATATAATTATTGTAAAATTATTGCAATGAAATTTATTGCTTATAGAGAAATAAAAAGAATTTAATCAATCGAATGGAAGATTTTCAACGTTACAAAGAACTTCTATCATTAATGCAAAATTGTGAAGTAAAAGAAGCATTTCGTAGTAAAACCAATGGAGCTATAGTAAGTTCAAATGATTTCCCTTACAATTATAACAAAAATTAACGAATCTGAAGAAGAAGATCAGTATTTGATTCAATAACTTTTCCCATATTATTAATTAAAAGTTTTAATTGATTGGGATGATATTGTCTTGGTGGACAAATGTTTTCCAGGATAGCTAATCTTTAATCTCAATCTTTCCCCTTATGATTTTGATTGTGATCTTTAATCTTTAATCTTTATCCATTTCATAATGGTTAACATAAAATAATTTGACATTTGCATACTTTTACACGGTAACTTATATAAGATATTGGCTTATCATCAAATTGATATAAAAACTAAAAAAGATAATTGTATTAATCAATCAATCAATTATTATTAGAAATTAACGGAAGACGAATTGGACTATTTACGTTGGCTAAATGAAGAATTTCATCCATCAATAAATTCCGTTGAAAATAATGCAATTTGGCGCAGAAAATTACATGAGAGTACTTTGAAAGCAATGGAAATTACAACTGGCTCAAATAAAGAAATCTATAATTCTTGGACAGGTAAGAAGTGAATGAAATTGGTGTAAAATAATGAAAGAATTCAAGAGATCAAAGATTATAAGAACATTTTATCAAGCTTTTAGCTCTTAATTATTATTGCAGCACTTCTTTGCATGCGCAATTAGTATTATTTCAGGTCATTACAGGGAATGTATATATTTCAGGTAGCGATACGAAACGTTTATTAGAACGAATTAGCAATTGTGGATTTTTCAAGAGCCGTACAATGTGGGTAAATATGGAAATTTTTAATCGCATTAACGCTAGCACATTTCTACCATTTGGACCATACTATCCTCATCCCTACTACACTTACTACTACAATCACGAGGTTGTTTTTTTTTCTTTAAATTTAGTACAAAGATCAAATTATGAATGCCAATAATTGTTTAAATTTTAGAATGCATTTGATACAGATCAGAAATCTAATGCCGAGATGACATTAAATGCTAACAATGTCACAAACTGCAATGATCAAAGCCTAAACAATAATCTTGCCAGTAAGTTTCTCATTATTTTCAAAATAAAAATTAATTTATGCAAAAATGCAACAATATTTTGCTTTATTATAGCTAATTCAAATGTTCAACAAAATAATTTACGAACGGAAAACAATGGATCAGGTGCGGAAGCAAAGATCAAAGAAAATTATAAATTCGTTAAAAGAAGCGATAAACCGGACGGTTGGTTAATTAGTACAAATGTACTTTCACTTTAAATGGGAGCAGTTTTTTAGCCTTCAAAAGAAAAGAAACACGCTTTTTACCATTTTTAATAAGTGTTAATTATCACTTATGATAATTAAAATTGGCGCATTTGAATTATAAATATAAAATTGATAATAAAGAAATAAATGTCTCTCTATAATATTATCGAACTTTCTCGAAAAATGCAATTAACGACGATAAATAATTACATTAGTTAATTGTTTACAAGATGGAAATGAAGAAAAAAAAAGAAAGTAAAATGAATAGGTGGCGATGTTTATAAATTTTTAAAAAATAGATTTTATAGTGATAAAACTATTTAAACTAAAAATAAAGCTTGCCATTTATAATTTTTACTTCAATTAATATGCAAAATTTTTGAATCTTTCATATAAAAACATCAATAGTTTTAATTTCAGATTATTATCTTTGCTTTAATTATTATCCTGCTCGTTTCACTTCTGATGTAATCATACCGCCACCATTGGCTCGACGACCGCCACCAGGAATATATCGTTGTGATATTTGATTAGGGATCAATAACACTCGTCAAATGTTAATCATTTTTTATTTCACCTGCTGAAAACGACAAATATTTCCACTTCCTTTAGTTCGTGTTCATTTTTTTTTGTCTTTTTTTTTATCGCAATGATTTGCAATTACTTGTATCAGCAGCCAGTCTCCAATCATTTCGTTAAATTTAATTACTTTAGGAGTAGACAGTATTGAATATGCCAATTTTATTATATAAATATTTTTATTTCGATAATTTGTAAACAAATGTCAGATTCTTTAAAAGCTGGAGAGGTACGAAATGAAAATGGTCTAATTTTCCATTGTATAAAATAAAAATAACCTTTTCGAATTTGGAAAGTTCGAATAGCAGATTTTCCGTTAGATACTTGGTCAGTTTCCGAAATGGAAGTCACGAGAGTGAAACATACGTCTCAGATTCTAGGTTATGATAAATTTGGTAATTCAACACACCAACAACAAATCGTATTTAATTAGTAGACAGTTTTACATAACTTTTTAAAATGATTTGACAATCAAAAATGCATTTGTACAATTCCGAGTTATAAAGACATCAGAAAGTGGATGAATAAATTGAGCTTCCTTTTCTTCAAGTCTTCAGTTGATAATTAATTAACAAGAGATAGTCTACAATTTTATTTTAAGTATGCACCATATCCGTCTATCACAATGAGAAGCGGAAAATTTCCAAAGTATTTCTTCCACGTATAACAATCCCGAGTAAATTTGATTTTAGGATGAAATGAAAGAGATATTCAGTATTGAACATTCAGATAAGTAATATCAACTAATTAATCATTCGCTCTTGCGGTATAATACATCCAATATATCATATTCAGTAATGTGAATGAAATCGGAAAAACCTTTTGACATAAGCTGAAATGATGAAATTAAAATATCAATCAATAAAGTGATATGCTAAAGAGCAGCATGTGATAATATTACTGCATTAGAAATTAATTATTAAATTCATAAAGTTTATTTGAGAAAAATCCTGAATCTATTAGAAATATTAGTTGATATAATTCTGTTAAAAATAAGAAAAAGATTCATTCATTTGAAAATTTATTCTTCAGAATGGAAAATACATACTTATCCATATCTTCTCCAGTCCAATGTCGTAAAAATCTCCTCTCATTGCTTTGTTTTTTACGACGACATTTACTGTAACTTCTTGATCCTTCGGAAATTGTACAAGGTGAGTAACGGATCATATTATCATCATCTAAGCAATATTGCTAACATCTATGGTAAAATGCTATACCAGTATTATGCTAATTATATTTATCGGAAGCACTACTGATATTACTCTCTTTAAATTTAAATTTTAATTACAAATTTAAATTTATGAAGATATTCTAACAAAATGAATATCATGAATAAAAGAATTTCGTAAATTTTTCCAAATATATCATTACAAGTTTTAGATGATAACTTTTTCGATCATTTCAATAAAACATGTTAATAATCTATACATAGTCTCAATTCATTGCAACAATTCCGTTATTCAATTTCAGAAATTCAATTATGAAACTGTTCTTGGAATTGTACGTCGCTGTTCAAATACAAATAATCAGGCATGTTCGAAAAGATTTTTAGACTGAAATACATACTATAATTATTTAATTTCATTATTTCCGGATATCGAATTGTTGATGTTGTCCTTTGTTCATTGTAATTAGTGAATGTTGCCGTATTACGTGTCCATAAACTATCATTCAAATCAACGTCGACTTTTCCGGATATCTGTGCATCTTCATCAACCCGTTCAATTAACGATAACTAAAATAATTATATAATTATAATTCGTGGCTTCAATTTAAATTTACTAATTCTTATTTTATCATTTATTTATTTATTTTTCTTTTTGTTTCATTTGCTAATGTTTTCGTGCAAATGAACAAATAACTGATGTATTTCTCAAAATTTGATCCTTTAAAGTAAAAATAGGAAATATTTATTATAATTTCAAATTCAACAGTAAACAAAGATAATGTTATTAAACCTTTCTCCGACGATTTTCCCTGAATAATCGTTTACTTGGTCGGCATTCATTCAGGAGTAGGTTACAATCAGTATCATTTTCAGCATTCCCGCGACTCCTTGATGTAGTTGGTTTCTCTAACATTCCAACAATAGCTAATTCAACAATCGATAGAAATATGTAGCCAACACAACCGAACATAAATAAATCCAAACCTTTTACATATGAAACCTAAAAGAATTTCAAAAAATCAAATACCTAAAGGAATGCTATATGAAAGATAAGCTGAGAAAACTAAAAATAAGCTCTAAGCATATTCTTTAAAAAGTTAAAATATCCTTTTGGTATAGGTAAAGATTTTAGCATTTATTGCTTCTTTCGAATCTGTAAATTGTCGAAAGACTAGCATCTTGAAATTTCAGAACTTCGAAGCTGCACTGATAACAGTTCCAATATTATAAATATAATCAGAAAGTATAAATGAAAACTTTTGGAAGTGTCCTTGCAACATTGGAATATTGCAAAGTAAGTGCCATCATTGACGAAACGCCAACGGTGACACGAGCTGGAAGCGATCGACGATCCAACCAAAATGATATCCATGAGATGAGTACCATACAATAGGTTGGTAGATAAATTTGCAACAAGTAAAAACCGTAAGAGCGACGAAAGTATAACTTTATATTTAACTACAATTATGTAAATTTTGAATTAACGAAGAAAATTTTTCACCATTAGCATCATCAACAAAAAATTGGGAGACATAGAGAAACTTTCGTTCGATTAGGTCTCACTTACTTTGGCTTCATTGATCTCAATCAATAAATTTCAGAGAGAATAATCGATTTGTTGTTTTATAAAAATAAAAAATCATAAATGATGCTAAATTTGTATTCTAAATTGTATTCGAGCACTTTTTGTCAGATCAAATCATGTATTCCATCATGTCACGTTTAATTAACTAGCTATCATCATTCTGCTTTTGCAATGATATTATATTCACTTACATGATCCCAAACACCCGCTGGATAGTGGAATGATGCTTTTTCATGAATATAATGTGTCATATGAAAATCCGGTAAATTTGTTTGTCCGATTACTTCCACCGGAATTCCATGACGTTTCCAGTGTAAACGAACTTTACCAACATTAAATGAATAACTTTCAAAAACCATTATGCATTCAACACGATCCATTGGAAAAATTGAAAAATCCATTTCACATGGTGTTTCTACCATAATCCTAAATAACGATAAAAATAATCTCTTATCTGTTTTTCACACAACTAAGCTTTAACCAAAAAAAAAAGAAAAAAAATTTATTTTTTATTTGAATGATTCTAATTCTTCATTAGTTTCTTGCTTTATTTCATAACATTCTTACGTTATCGACAGTTTTACAACGAACTAATTAACAGAATATTCTTGATGCTCATAATCAACTGTATATGATAAGTGATTAACAGTGGAACTAATTAACAGAATATTCTTGATGCTCATAATCAACTGTATATGATAAGTGATTAACAGTGGAACTAATTAACAGAATATTTTGTGAAGCTTATAATCAACTACAATATGATAAGTAATTATATCATTAAAATTTCTAAAAAGCTTTCTTTATACGACCTGTAATTTATCCAAACGGTTCCATTTGGAAGAATAGAAAGGAAAACATTGGGTGTAGGTGAATGATGTATCAATGATCCTTTACTGTTAACAATACACACATTTGGTAACCATAGTTTCTCGACCATTCGATGTGATAAAGTTAAATTTTGCACACAATCAGCTCCTTCGATATCCTCAACAAACAATGATAATGATATTTGGATGTTATCAATTTTCTTGAAATTTAACTAATATCATCTATTTCTTTTAACATCCAATCACTTAACAAATAATTCCATACTTCATATGATATTAACATGCAAAAAAGTATTTAAAAAAGTGAAATCTTATTTTTCAAAATAAAATAAAATTATAAAGGAATGCAAAGAGTTTAAATTACCTGAAATGATAAGTTGGGATCTCGCCAAATTTGCGCCAACAAAATATGCATCTTAGAACTACTTTGTATTTCGGAAATTTCAGATATCTAAAATTAATAATTTGTTAATTCTCTCTCTTTCTTTACCCTTTTATTTTGATGAAAAATTCAACATATCCTTAACTTTATCTCGATATTTCTTCCTTTTTCTTTTAAATTTTCATTATTTATAAAACAATAAAAAACAGAAATTTATAACCTAAAAATTAAATGAGATTTCTATTATACTTTTCCCTTCATAATATTTATTAATTATATAGGAAATGGTGGATCCTTTTTAATGCTAACCTGTTGAATAAGTATTTCAACATCCACATCAACACCTTTTGCTGATGGCACCAAATTTCGATCATATGTTTTCAATATTTCTGATAATATTCTAAAATGTCGTTTACAATTATCATTATTAGTGAAGAGCTGTAACATTAAATATTTCAAATAAATTGTTGATAAATATTTAGGTTAATGACTACTAGCTGTTCTTTTGTGGGAAGTTTTAGAGAAATTCAAAAAATTCTCAAAACAACTTGACATTTTTTTAATATTACTATATTCATTTACAATATTAACCTAAGCTTCCATCAACTTACTAATTTAATTAAAATGGCAATCATGTTGCAGATTAAAAAAAAAAGTGAGAAAAATATTGCAAGATAAAGTTGCAATATTACGAACAAAAATTGGGCCAAAATAACCAAGTTTAAGCAAACTATTCTATTTTAGCCTAGCCAAATATGGCTACAAAATATAAACTTAATACAAAAAAAAGCCCAGAAAAATATTGCTTACTTTTCAGCTATTCCTTCATCTTGTCCCGAAATACATTTATTATTTGACATATTAATTTCACGAGAATCTGCAAAAAAAAGAAAAATGATAGCAAATGTTTTTAAATGCTTAATATATATGGTAGGATATGAATTTTTGGTGAAAATATCTATAATTATGATGACAGTATAATTAAGATGAAAATAATTATGATGAAAAAGAAACAAAAATTTGTGAAATTTTTGTTCAGTTTTGACAATTGAAAAAATTTCAATAAAATTTGCTACCAAGCATATGGCGACATTTTCCGATACTATCAGCAACAAAGCCAGAACGACATATACAATTAACTTTACCCGTACTGCTACTTTTTTGACAAAACGATGAACGTAAATCACACTTCTCACAACCTAAATAATAATCAAGCAAATATATAAACAAGTAAATAATTAAGTTGAATTAATAATTGAAAAAATGTGAAACTTACAAAAAAAAAATTTAAATTAATATCTTCATGAAGAAGAAATTTGCTTAGTTCCTACTTTTTTCTAAGGTTAAAATCCATGCAGAGCTATATGATATATATATATATGTGTATAAGATTATCTCACCTAGAATTTTAAAGTTTAGCTATTACTATAAAGAAAATTACGTGATATTGTCACTACAAAATGATACAGTATCTATGTGGCAAGATATTACTGCTGCAGTAAAAAGATGCAGTAATTACGGTATCAATAGAGATAGAATACAAAACTGGAATTCAAAATTAAAGTCAATCTTTAGATTTATAGATGTGGTAAAAAAAATGCCTAAATCTTTTTAATGCATTGCATTTTCAAATTATGACGCAATTGTCTCTTTTAGAAAAAAAGAATAAGTAATAAATTTTCGAATTAAAATCAAAATTTTCAATTATCCGAAGTATTTAGCACAGTGCAAACAATTTATTACACAATTGATGGGAAAAATATTAATTTAAAAGATGTTAACGAAGAAAGATTCCATTGTTAAATGCAGTAAAAATGACATTTTGTTGTAAAACTTTTGACAGTGATAGATAAACTTTAACATTGGCTACGATAAATGTCGAAAATTGCATTTTTGCTTTCTGCTTTTGCTCTTTTCATTTTTTTTTTCATGCGCCGACAATTGTATATTGTTGTGATAAATGTATTATTTTAGTTTGATTCAACAAAAAAAGTGCTAAATTTGAATTTTACCAAGAAATCAATTTTGTATCGTATTTCGATTTACTCGAAAACAATTAAAATGAATTTGATTGTTAGTAAATGTGCAAATATAACTTGAAAAATTTCCAATGTCTAATTAAATTATTACAAATAATATAGGAATATAAGCATCATATGACGAAATTGCAAAATTATCTCTTTGATTTGACATTAAGTGACAATTGACTATGCTGGTGATACGGAAAAAAAAAAGTTCAAGAAATTTATGAAATAAACCTGTAAGCTCGGTAGTCGCAGTTGCTTGAAAGATTTGAATGATGAGTAGAGCAGTAGTTCTCAGTAAAAAAATCAATGTATACGAACAATTCATTCACCACCTATACCGGTATTTCTTGAATGAGTCCGGTGTATCACAATAAAAATCATAAAATTTACCTTAAAAAAAAGACAGTAACTTGATTTATTTATTTAAGCATGTTGTATTCATAACAATTCTCTCAAAGATATGGCTTAAAATCCATTGAAATTTATTACAGGGAAACACGACTGCTTGATAATTATAGGGAAAGAAAAAGATTTAAACGCTTCAACTCTATTTAAAAAAAAAAAATGAAAAATAACTGAGGTGAAGTAAGTATTCATTTAGTTGAACTACCACCAATTCATTATTGATTTACTTAATAGGCCTATTAAGTATCGATCATGGAATCCAAGAGAGCTAGGCTTACAACCTATGTTTTATCTTTTTTTTTTCTTCCAATTGTTAGGCAAATTTTGGATGAAATTCATCACTAATAATATCTTTATACTATCAGCATGTTAATTAAGTATTGAAAACATGAAGAGTGATATGGTAGCGAGAAATTACTAATCATGTTAGAAAATGAAATTAATTACTTTTAATTGCAATGACGATTTATAATTGAAATTAAGCAAGAATGTTAGATTTAATTTAGTATCATTTTTGATTTAATTGTAAGATTCAAAATAAATGAATGAATTTATTTTTGCTAATAAAATTAGATCAAAACAACTGATGTTATCATGTGGTAGAAATAATTTCGACCATGGAAGTGATCAATTATTTCGTCGTGTATGTTTGAAAAAGAAGCTAGAATTGATAGAAAATATAATAGAAATGTTGTTAAGATAAATTAAATAAATTTTTTGCAATTATTTATAACCAAAGAATGAAATTCATAATGTTGGAATTTTGACTCATTTAAGGTCAATGATCAAATATATCTTACCGATGACAACTTTATATACCGTACATTAACAGATAAGTTGAAGGAATGTTTTTTTTTTTCAATTTTATTTCAGTTCTAATTTAAATACTGTAAACTATCTATCTGATCCAATTACTTTTTGATCATTACCAAGCATTAACTGCAATACAATAGAAATGTTCAACAGGAATAATGTATATGAGCGCAATTGTCATAACGATATGCAAGCTACTATTGCTTGTTTCAGTCTCAGTGATGAAAATAAAAAATCGGCAATATGTAGGAGAGATGTAAGAAAGAGGTTATTCTCGGAGATGGAATCATATTATCATTATTGGTTGAAATGTATTTTTTAAGGGATTGTTTGAAAATTGGGTAAAATTCATTAAATTCACAAGTTTTGTGAAATAACTTTAAAAGATTTGTTCGTTTAGAAAGGAAAGTTTATTGTCAGCTCTGAACTTTGGTTTTATTAACTTTATTTATTAATAATGGTGAAAAATAATTAAACGAAAATTTTGAACTAAAAAAATCAAATTGGAATGAAATTTGTGACAAGCAAAATACATTGCTATACTAGTCCTCCTGGTCATCCTGGAGGGAAATAAATGAAAAAATGCATCTTTACTGGGAAATCTCGGATGTGCCAAAATGACAATCCATGTTGACTTGCAGTAGGACTTTCCCTAAGATTTTATAAACAAGTTAGCAATGAAAACAAACTCTTCAATGGTTTCAAACCTTTTCTTGATCAGGTCAAAAATAATAAATTCTATTAATTTGTAAATGACTTTAGCCAAAACTTTCAATGTGCTAATATATTCTACGTGTACTCATGTACACCTACTTATACTTGCTTAAAAAGTTGCAAGATATGCTAGTTGAATAATTTATTTGAAATAAAAGGGAAATGGACAATCGCGCATTAAGATTTACAAGTGCAATTAATTAATAATAGCAATTGCTAATGAATAAATAATGCATAATGAATAAGATTAAAATAGAAAGAAAAAGTTATCGTTTCGATAACGGAATAAAACAACAATTAAATAGCGGTGTTTTTGTTTGAACAAATGCCGATAGGCGGAATTATCTGTCCTAAAATGTTTGCAATTCGAATATCATTTGTTGAGAATTTAATGAACATTATTAATTTAGTAATATTAAAAACTAAATTAACTTCAAATTTAAAAATTTTTTTCTATTGGAAAAATATTTGCAGAAGTGCAAAAGGCATCCCACTGGCATTGAAAAGTCAATTAATGTGATGATGTTTACGTTCGGAAGCGGAAATGGAAAATCACAATGAAAGAAAATGCATTTTATTTTTTTTTTTTTAACCTTGAGCTCCAGGCAAACCATCATTTCGTTCACACGGCACTTGTGGGAAAATAGAGTGAATTAATGTTTGGTTTAAGACTTTTATAAATCTTCAGGAAGTAACTGGATTAACTAGCCTCAATTAGCCTGATAGGATCTTTTATTTTTGGGCCATGAATTCATTGATTCCATCATATTCGTCAATATCGATCCTGTTGCTTGTTAAATTTTTTTTTTTCTTTTAGATTCCCTTTTTTCTTTTCCTTTGATACTGTAATTTATTTTCTTCATTTCTTGACATAACAATTTCCCAAAATATATTCTTTCTTTTCTTTATAACAAGAAAAAGTGTTCCAATGTAATTAACAAATATTAATAAAGCCTAGCACAATAGTATTGCTAATGAGTAGCGCAATAGTATTATTATTGGTTAGGCAAAACCGCTTGTGCTTTTTTTGCAAAAATATTGAAAATTGTTGTTAAGTTAAAATCAAAAAAAAACTGAGGTTACATAAATACAAAGAAGAACAAGTTTTTGTTTCGTTTTTTTTTCTCATGCATTTTGTACATTTCTTTTTTAAAGTATAAAATTACAAATTGCATTACTGAAAACATTTCAACGAAATATTTCCCCAATGTTTGCTGGGAAAAAAAGAAAAGAAAAGCATAAATTCATCTCATCAATATTTAATTTTTCATGTCGTAAGATGTAGCTTTTTTGTACTTGAAAAAAAAAATTTCTTTCCCAAATACTGTCAATTGCTTAATGATATGATATAAACAAATCAGTTTGAAATGAATGTTATCAGATATATCAACTGAGTAATATAAGGTTTGAAAAAAAAAGAAACGCAAGGTTTGTTGGGATTTTCTTCCAAATAGAATATTAAAATATAACATACTGAATAACAAAAAAACAAAAACAAAAACAAACAATTGGATTATTGTTGAAAATTCTCAACAAATTTCAACTTTAGTGCTTACAGATATTTAAGTTTATATTCGCAAATTTTTTTCTTTCATTTGGATCCATCTTCAACCACATTCTATGATAAAAATAGTTAAAACATTCTTGCCTAATTAGAAATAATAACATTCGTTGCTAATTAAGCCAAATATTACAATAATTAAAATTTAACATTCTTCTTACCACCAATAAGCCTCACAGTTATCAGGATAATTTGGACTAGGACTGTTGGAATTGTTGGAGTTGTTACTTAGATTGAAATCAAAAATTACTAATGCAAACAACAGAATACAATCTGATCTGAACAATAATTACATCAATGTAGAAAATATTTGCTTCTATTTCCAATATGCATTTACAATTAAAAGTATTTCAAAAAAATGAACCAAAAAATAAAATTGCCTGGATGACTGACAATATAAAGTTTCAATATTTGGAATATGGATCAGGAAATTGATGGCTCATATTTCAGCAATGTGAGCATGTTCCAATAACAATCATTTGGTATTTCATGTAAATTTGCTAATATGGTTCTTTTTTTTCTTTCTCCAAATATAATGTAACTTACTTATAGTAGCTGAATTACAGTAGATTATATCGTATTTGGAGAAAATACAGTAAAAATATTGAATTAACTAATATTAGCAATGGAAGTGCAGATATCCAAAAAGTGAACAGAAGTATATCAAATGTGTAATTTTTAAAATATAATTTTTCCTTCTATTTGAAGAATTATCTGCAATTGGTTTGTTTCAACTATCAACTATCAATAATAAATAATAACTTTACTGATAAAAATAGGAGCAGTTGAAGTGTAATCAGTCTAATAATTTCCACCGTATCAAATCATTTCCTTGTCTACCTAATCATCTTATTCAGTTACTTATGGAATGTTAAAAGAAATTATAAGAATTCATTAGCATTTAAAATAAAATTTCAAGCTAACATTGAAACAAATTGGACACTTGTCAAAACTAATTTATATCAAAATTATTATCAGTATTTCCATAGAATCACCTCATCCTAACTAATCTTTAACTTATTGTTATTTACAATTACTTTTAACACTTAGTAAAATATCTTTTGCTCGTTGAATAAATAAATCCGCTAAAATCATTTGTCATTTTTCACCTTTTTCAATATTGACGTTTATTCCCTGCATTCTAACTAGAAGGAATTGAAATATATACGTGCGTAGACATGCATATATTGCACGAATGTGCACAGACATGCATATGGTGCACTAACGTGCACAAACATACATATGATGGACCATCGTATCCTTATATTCTAAATGAATACCATTTAAAAGATTACAATTGGTTGCAGAATGTATCAATCATAATAGGATATTGAAAATTCTATAATGTCTAATCAAATACTTTGCTATACACACTGAACCTTGCAATAAATAGAATAATTATTATTAAAAGTAGCCAATAAGCCAAGAGCCAGTAAGTCATAGTCTTGCAGCCAAGAGATAATAAGTCATAATCTTGCATGTAAGATGCATATTATTGGATCAAATTTTGAAGAGATTTCTAGCTAATTTTTTTTTTTTTTACAGAGATGACTACAGAGGGGTGACAAAATCATTATTCTTCAAATATTTCAACTTAGCATACCAATATATTTTAGCAACAGAAAATTTTTTGTTGCAGCAATTCACATCAAACTTTCAACAATAGCTAAGACAATTTCATATCTAATATGTTTATGATAAGAATACATTAATTGGAAATAATATACACAGGAAGATTAAATGTTGAAATTACAATATATCAAAAAGAAAATAAACATTTTGATAAATCCGAACCTAATTAATCAATGCTTTCTTTTAGCAAATTTGCATATGTTATTGCAGAAATGGAACATTATTCAAGTTTAATGATACATGACAAATAATATACAAATACTTGTGTGTAAAATAAAACAACATCGCTTTCTAATGTCATTTCAAAATAATTGATACAAGCCATTTCGTGTTATGATTATTTACAAACGTATGTTAAGAGATCTATTTCAAAGCGTAATATTTATTCCTTTAAAATGCTTGAAGCTTTTGTTATAAACATAGTGTAATAGCTTAGTGTTACATATTCATCCTGTGTATTTTGTTTTTATAACTGAAATCCTGTTTTAAAAATCAAAATTTCGTCAATTTAAAATTTGGAACGAAATTCACGGTAAAAGAATATTAAAAAAGTTTGCGAAATTTAAAAAGTTTAAGAATTATATTCAACAGTAACATTGATCATGTATGCATTAGAACAAAAAAAAATCAATAAATTAAACACTTATTGAAAATTAATTGCATTAAATATAAACAATTATTTAGGAAATTATTTGTTATAAGGATGAAAGAATTTTGAAGAAAAAACCCGGTAATTCATCACAAAATCTTTTACAATCATTTGGCGTTATATGTTATCGGCATCTTGAGAAGGATTCGAAATAATAACAACTTCCAAGTTGACATGCTTAACTTATCAGACTAGTTAAACAACTGCTGCTTTTTTGATTTTCAGTAAGATAGAGAAAAAAAAAACGGACATCAAAATAAAATGAAACAAAACATTCACCAATTAACAAAAATATATTCACGTATATTTTTTCATCTTCTTCTGCTTCATCTAATTTATTCAAATGTAAATAAATATTTGAGGAACGTGATATAATATAAGTTTAATTTTTTTTCAAGAAGTTTAACAAATTGTTGACGTAATTTACTTCCTTACAACAAACCTATCACTATATAATGAAACGTCTGGTTAAAAAAAAGACCGAACATAAACTAGTGAAGCAAAGAAGGAATTCATAAAAATAAATACTTCTAGAATTCTTGCATACGTCAGAGGAGTCGAGAACAGCTGTCGTAAGATTATACCAATCTGTGACATGATTGGTACAAGATAGATTAGTGAGATATATGTCGACAAATATCCGGAAAATAAATTTTTGGAAGCAATATATAT